AATACATATATAGTCCAAACAACTTTTTGGACTATATATATACTGAAGCACAGATTGCAAATACCTCTCTTGTTCATCCAGCTACCTCCATAAATCAGGAAGAATCAGGCTTGGTGGATACAGCTGACCTGACTGGATCACAATTACCAAAATGCCATCTTATTCAGTTAAAAAGCCCATCTCCAAGACCCAAGATGGAGCCATCAGGAACAGATAAGAAGTATCAACACCCTAGAAATTCAACCTATTTGGCTAACAAGGATTCACTTCCAAGAAGATATAAAGGAGCGATATAAAATGGTCAAATGTTTCTACTGTGTCCATTTCTATCAATAGTAGGGTAAAAGATATTTCATTCCCTCCACAAGGAGGCATCACAGTTGCTGGAATAGGGAGAACAATCTACTGTATCTTGCATAATAATGCAGAACTTATTAACAAGGAATTTGAATTTGATTCTTGAATAGGATTGGCTCAGACAGACTTCTATTTAGTACCTGACAGGAGAGTAAATACACAAGCATTTTAAATTACTCTCAATCAGTTGAACACATCTATCATGAATATGAAATGAAAATGAAAATGAAAAGCAACAACCTTCTTTTCCTTCCCTAATTAGAGTGCTCTTACTAAAAGCATATTCCACTATTAACTATCATGACTGCTGTCTTTTTGGTTATTATTGTTAAAAATGAAAATGCAGGATTATTATTATTAGTAATAAAATTATACCCTGTATTTCTGCTTATTAAGCACTCAGTAGACTTGTCAACATTGATTCCTGAAGGTCTGAGAAGAGCATTTCCAATAACTTCAACAGAAGTATTTCTATGTCTAACTCCTATTTCTAAGCAAGCTCTCTTGGCCGTTCCTTTAGCCCTCTGACTTGGAAGTCTAAGTAGTTTCTATGGTTTCTTTACTAAGGCATGCTTCCAAGTTAGCCCAACAATCTTTCAGCTTTCACAGCATGCCTGGTCTTGATTCTTTTGTCAGTTATTCAAGACAAAGGGAAATTTTACAAAACAAATCTAATTTCTAAGAGGGTTAGGTAACTTCCAGAGAGGGGAATTCAAACTCACTAATTGATACCTGAAATGGCCGGGCCATGTGTCCTATTGAGGACTTGCAGGTACCTGTTTACTATAACACTGAAACATGGGAGAGGGGCAAGAGAGGGGCAACTTTGGATGGTTGGTAATGTGTGTTTTGATCTGGATGTGTCCTGTCATGTTTTCGGGTCAGGAAAGTAAGTTACAGGAAATAGCATTTGTCACTAAGAAAAATATTTTGAAACCCAATTCCTTGGAACTATGAAAAAAAGAAAGAAAACAAAGAAATAACACCGTGATTCCTGGAGTTCATTTTCAACTGCTTCTTGAGACGCTGAGAAGTTGTTCTGAATATTTCCTATAATCCCCTTCACCAGGACAGATTCTTTCAAGTTTTCCAGTCACTGCTCTTCATCCTATGGATAAAGTTTAGGGTTTCTACCCCCTCTGCAGATGCTCCTTTTCTCAGCAGTGACTACTGACTTTCTCAGTCAGATTTTGACTGAAATACAGAATTGTATTCATTTATCTCAAAGGAATAGTACTTGATGGTCATAAAAACAAAGAACAATTTTCAGTGGAAAGTCCTTATTCAGGTAGCTGTGGATAGTAATTATTTTCTCTGTAAAATTTTTGGCTTTGATTTCTTTTCATGTTCATTGAATATGAAATCAATAGTGCTATTACTAAAAAACAAACAGAAATTCCAGTTTAGCTCTTAAGACTGATATACCAATTTTAAGCAGCATCCCAACCTCAGGTGGTGTTGGAAGTGATGCTGCATAATGAAGTGAAGCTCTACCAGTGAGGTGAACATGTCTACCATTAAGGCCCTCAAGAGACTCCACCAGAGAACAGAATATTATTATTAGAATAATTGTATATTTGTGAAATGAAGCTGTTACAACTACTCTCAAAACCTAATAATACTTTCATTGCAGTCTTCATTGAAGCATTCTTTTTATTAAAAAAAAATAAAGTAGAATATTAAAATTAGGTAACAATTAGGTAGCTAAGTATACTTTTCACACTATTCTTTTGTATGTATTTCAAAGGGGACATTTATTGCTAAATAATAAGGAACTGATAAAGATTCCTTAATTTCCCTGAAAAATTGTTACCGTGACCATATTCAGATTGGTCTGACTGTAATATTTCCATGAATCATGCTGGATTGGTGAGTCAACTTTTCTACAAGTGCTATATCCCAAATCCATGCAGCTGTAGGAGGAGGAATTATATTTAGATTTCAAATGGTAAAAAAGCTCAGGTTTACTGCCCATGAGCAGTAACAATTGTAACAGATTTTTAGCTCAGTTTGGGTAAATTAAATCAAGGGATGAGAGGATTTAAGTACAGGTGGGCTGCTGTTTTTGTTATTTCACTAAAGATACCATACTACAGCTTTTTAATAGGATTGCCACATGTGACAGTATGAGTTTATTATGCTACAATTTATCCAATACATTGCTAAACAATTGTAATTAGTGTGATGCAAGCAAACAATTCCATATAAATTCAGATTAATTCAGATTAATGTAATTTCTCTATTGTTTTAAAATTTGACACAAACCAAATGGCATTCCAGTCTTTTTCTGAGACCACAATACTTAAGCCACTTTCCTATATTAATTTTAAGGTCAAGGAGTTGCCCAAGATTTCTGACACTAGTAACTTGTTTGAAATGAAATCAACACTTTTTAAAGTGAAATCAGAGTATGTTTCAATTTCAATCAGTTTATTACAGTTATAGACCAGTACAACTAAAAATGCACATAACATGTCTAATTACAATCTTAGATATTATTATCTAGTAAAGTAAATCAAGTAAAATCTATATCATAATTATAATATGACTGCCTAATGTCATTTATACATGAAGTCAAGCAGCCTATACTGTAATTATTACTCCTTAAATTAAATTATGATATCCTACAATTTTTGATCGTTAACTATAATAAAGGTGATGATAAAATGATAATATCTAAAATTGAAGTGTGTTGGTTATATAAAACTATCTACAACGAGATATTTGTCAGATTCCGATGAATCTTTAATGCTGCTGGACAGAATCTAGCTACCTGCACTGTGACTGTAGTCTGTTCGTCTTTAAGCAGGATCTATAGATAGTCGGTATCAGAGCGGCCTGGATACCTATTAATCATCGGATGAATAAATTTTGTTCAAATGTCTCTATATAAATTTCAATTTATACACTGTCAAATATCTTACCAATGCAAAGAGAGTTCAAAGATGGCTGAAAAAAATCTATGTGGACCGACAGCAATAGGAGTATGGTGAAAAACAAGAACCATGCATTCATATATATCTATCAGAGACAAAATTTTGCCCCTACCATCTGATATTACTGTTTTCACTATCATCTAGGTGGCTCAGAAAATTGTAACAAAAAGTTTGAGTGCAAAACAAATAAAAATCACTTTTGTCCATTCTACATGGCCAACTGAATCATGTTGTAAGCACAGCCAACTCTCTTACCAAAAAACAGACACGCTGTTGGCAGAAATTCCTGGTATTTCCTCAACTATAGTTCTGGGACAGTGAGCTGGCCCATATTATCCAATTTATCATATGCAACTGATTCATGCAGATGGTCCAGCTGGGTAAAGAGCCACTGTTATTGAAGGCTGTGTCAAGAACAGATTTGGAAGCAGAAAGATAAAGCAGTGGTGACGTTATTTTTCCTGCTATAAAACTGTTCAGATTCAAAGACTAAGTGATGATCATGGCTTTTGTTCTAATTTCTAAAATGAGACATGTTGCAATTTTAATGAGTTGGCCATTGTCGTGGTGGAAAAAGGGAGCACACAGGGAAGAATCTCACCATCTCATGACTCTTCTTCCTTTGTCAATAGCTGCCTAAGACAGGACATCGGTAGGCATTTACTGTTTGCAAGTCACCTTGTTGTTCAACCTGGAAGAGGAAACATTGGAAACATTCCTCAGTTCGTCTTCACAAGGTCTTATCCACAGCTGCTGTGTCATGCTTTCTTCCCATCCCAGAGTCAGAAGGAAATCACATTGCCCACCCCATATGTTTTTAACATACAGCTAGAAAGGGCTGTACGGCTGCTGTCCACAGAGCTCTTTCACACAACAATGTAAGGATAGTGACTGGAAGTTTTCTCTGGGTGAACTTTGAACATTACTAACTGTGGGAAAACCCACAACCATTTGCTACCCAGGATGGGACTTGTAAAGTCCAATGTTTTGTCCGATAACTTAAATTAAGATAACTCAATTTTTTCCTGTTTGAAACCCACCCCAGCCAGACTGCAGTCACTAGCATGTGATGGTCTGAGGCCTGGACAACCAGCACTGAATCACTGTAAATGTGGCAGGATTCATGATCTGCCTTCTGATTGTGACTCATAGCTTATCTATGCCTGTACTCATTTCAAAATAGCAAAAAAGTGATCAGCCCCCAAAACACTTGTCACTTGTACTTCTTCATATCAGCTGAGCCCTGTAGGCATAATAAAGGTGGATATACAAAGAAGAATTATTAGTCTTAAAAAAACTTTGATTCAGCATCTGAACCCAGCTTAGTTTCTCAAAGGAGTTCAGATACATAAACAGTTGAGGGATCAATGTTTTCATTCTTGTCAAATAAATGAACCCCTTTCTTAACAGGCTAGATGTTTTATCATAAGAAATATTAGGATGTAGGACTATAGTTCAAGCTGTTGCTACCTTGATCAAAATGGGGGTGCTAGTAGTAGCACCCAGTAGGATTTGCTGATTTCTCATCATATGGCACAGATATTGTGACACTGATCTCAAGAAAAATATTTTTTTATTCAGTAAGCATCTTCCCCTAGAAAGGCAATACAGTGAAACCATCCAGAAAGACTCCACTCATTTTACAGGAGGTTGTAGACTTTTGCCTCTGTCTGATAATCCCATTACTGATCCAAATTTCAATAATCATTTTCCAAAAATTAAGTTTATAGGTGAAATTTCTGATCACTAGTGCAAGTTGTGACAGATGATTTCAGATACTTCTTATAATCATGATCTATGCTTTGGATACAGGTTTTTGTACTATGGTAATGACACAGTGCTGTGCACTATGGTCTGGGGTGTATCTGGCTAGGACTCTAGAACACTGAGTTATGGAAAAGTGATTTAGGAAACAAAAGTGATTTGGGAACAACATACAACCATTGAAAAAGGAGCTGTGAGGAAAAAAAATTGGAACTGGGGATGAAGGTAGTGGGAGGCCTAGATTCATAGGGTGAGTAATATTAGATAACTATTAAGATGCATCTATGAGGTTAAAAAGAAAAATACTGTTTCTCTAAAATGATTTCATTTTTCTCTAAAAATTTTCACATTTAAAATGCTGGTTGGCTGTTTCTTGCTATTGAGGAAAACTGTGACTAGCATATCCTCCTACTTTCTTAACTGCTCATTTACATACATGTATGTGCATTACATATGTGTAAACTGAACACAATACGTAGAATCTTGTAATGTTAAACTGTGGGCACTTAAGAAAATCTGATGGCCCTAAAAGGCCAGAGGCAAAAGCCAACAAAAATAATTGCTCATTATAGAAATACTAAAGAATATTCCAAACTAATATTGAGGGACTAAGAATCACATATTAAACAGATATTAATAAATTGGAGAAATTAAAATCATACCCATTTTGTTTAAGTTTCTCACAGGAGTTGATTCCAGTCCCTTCACCATTTTGGTAGCCCGTTCTGAATTTCTTCCAGTTTTTCATTGTTCTTTTTGACAGAATTGGACACGGTATTCCAGGTGGGGCCTGATCAGGCAAAGTAGGGTGGGACAATCACTTTCCAGGACCCGGACTCTATGCTGTTTCTAATACGCCCCCAAATTTCTTTTTTTAGCAGCTGCAACTCATTCTTAGCCACTGAGGATGCTTCTCACATGCATTGCTGCCATGTGAGCCTGCCCCCATCCTATACTTGTGTTTTTGGCTTTTATTTACCCCCAGATACATTTCTCTCTGTTAAATTCCATCCAGTATGCTTTGGCTCTCTGTTCAAGCTTGTGTAGATCTTTTTTGGATCTTCTCTTCTAAAGTGTTGGCCACTCAATCTTGCAGCTATATCATCTAGCCCAGTGTTTCCCAAACTTGGCAACTTTAAGATGTGTGTACTTCAACTCCCAGAATTCCCGAGTTTGAAAAATACTGATCTAGCCCATATTTTACTCAGGAGGAAAATGTTTGTGGAGAAGAATGATTAAGACATTAAATCTCTAGCACACAATTTAAATTTGCCTAAGAGAGACAAGTAAAATCAAAGTATTTCCTAAAAAGAAAAAAAAAAAAGCTAGTCCTGGAGGTGGGGGAGTGTTGAAGGAGAAAACAAGCCGAGATGGGGGAAAGAAGTGCTAGGCACAGTCGGAGATAAAACTGAAAGTGAACTTCACTAAGGGAAGCTGAGGCGAACTGTCTGGAAGAAGCTTTACAGGAAAGTTTGCAGAGGCTGGTGCTGTGTGAACAGTAAGAAAAAGACATACAGAAGAGCTCATACACATGCATGGATCTCAAACATCTGAGTAAAGGGAATTAAACACGCCGTATCTGGCCTGGAAAAACCCGGGCCACCAGCAGAGGGCAACAAGAACTACAGCCATCTCGTGGTCAATTGAGTTTTGCAGCCTGGTGTAACGTGCGAATGGCGCAGCTCCCGCCCTCTAATTTTGTGCTAATGAAGCAACAGAAGAGCCGGTCTCTCCTGCAGCCGAGCTGGAGTCGGGGCGTTCTTCCCACTGCCGGCAAGCGTCCCATTCATCCCCAGGGCCCGGCCGTTTAAACCTGCAGTGAATTCCACTTCCTAAGGCCTGAAGATGGAGGATGGTGTGTTGTGAATCTCTACTGTTAAAGGAACCGGAGTAAACGCTGGCGCTGTT